TTTTAAAAAAAAAGTTAAATATATAAATAAAAGCCCAAGCTTGCTTATGAGTAAACTTTATTACAGTGATATAGTATCTACTGCTGGAAATGGTCAAAACTTCCATACTATCAGAAGATTCTTTTAGGCTAGTCTGTATTAATATGTTATTTGCTGCTTCCCTGTCTCACTTGCTTTTTAATTAAGCCAAATGTTGAAGCATTAGGTCTTCTCAAATCTTGAGAGAAGCGTTTTTGTCCTATTAAGCAATTTTTTTTTCATTCTATGTAAGTTACAAAAATAGCATTGACGTGTTGCTTCGCAGGCTGATGGTGTAGCATACACCGTACATTCCAGAGCAACACACTCAGCTGCTTAACCAGTTACATCAGTGTAGCAGGCTGCAATGGAGATTTTAAAAATAAGCATTAGCTTTGGAAGCTGCCCCGTCTCCCTAGCCTCATGGGCTGATATACCTTTATTTTGTCTGACAGAAACCTAAAAACATATTTTGAAGAGAAAAGCAAGGAGATGACATGTAACGTGACAAAGCAGCAGCATCATTTGCTTGGGTATGCTAACGGGATCAAAAAGGGCGAAATGGTTGCATCTGGTCGAAGAATGGCTTTCGGTGTTCCAGGGTGAGGTAACAGCTGACTTTGAAACCTTGTCTGTAACACGCAATGTGCATCTGAAACATTTGGCAAGAGAGGCACCCACTGACCTCTGCTGGCATAAACCAGTTCCTTCCCTTAACGACTTTGTGTTAGAGGAGCTCTTGCACGGCTGATGGCATAAACTGGTGTGGAGAGTTTGGAAGCACTGTCTGCTGTTCTTTCATGTTCTTGGCCTCACAACTAAAACAAAGTGAGCAGAAATGATATGACTCTGTGAAGTATAGGCTGGCCAGTCTATGGGTCCTAAACACCAGCACCCAGGTAATGATGCTGGGCTATGTCATAGATACACGAGTGTATGTGCTCCAAATGTTGAGAGAGGAAGCATCATGCTTTCATCCTTGGGTCTCGCCTTTCTTCCAAACAATAAGCCTCGGGCTCCTAGATGGGTGTCAAAAGAAATGCACAAACCCTTTGGGGTGGAGGTGGCAAATGGGAGGGGAATTGTATGTTTGAATCCAAAAATGTGTTGATTGGTGCTAGTGGTCGGAGTCTGAAATGGGGAGTGGAGTGGGGAGTTGAGACTGCTATTGTGACTGATATTTCTACAAAGTTGTAGATGCTGAATTTGTATGAAAACATCTAGAGCATAGAGCTATAATCACGTTAAACAAGATCTGCTTGCTGCTCTTTGGTACAGGCTGTCTTCCAGCTAGTGATAACTGTAAATGTAATAAATGTAACATGGAGGGGATGTTATCACTTCAGGTGGTCAGAAACAAGTCTTGGTACTTTGTGAATAATTCGGACGGTTGCAAAACAAGGGACTCCTGCATAATCCCTTTAGGCGCCTGGGCCTTGGGAGAACAGGTATGCAAACTACAGAGATAAGGAGGCTGCAGGATAATCTGAAGACCCCTGCCGAGAGACGCCAAACAAACATGTGCGATGGACATTACCATATATTAATGAATTCTCGGAAAAGCCATTACTATGATAAACATTTCTTGGAAATGTAATGAATATGTATGTTAACATAGCATAAATACCTAGTAACT